AGCCCAAAGGGAAAATGTATCAATCCTAGATATGCTGCATGAAAATACTTGTGGAATTTTGGGAGGGGAGGAGGGAAATTACTTCAGAGTTGCTGAAGGACTGATCATTTTCAGTGCTAAGCTTGAAGCAGGTGCTTGTGGCCAAGTTATTAAATGGTTCCTGATGGAAAGGCTGGCACCACCTTAACTGCAGCAACAATGGCAGGGGCTGCTGAGGCTCTGGTGCTCAAAGCAGCTGGGGCTGCAGAAATGGGAAATAGCCTCTTGCTTGTTCCTCATTCTGAAACAGGGGGGGCATATGTGCCTCCCGTGGCACAGCCCCTTCCTCTTGCATCCTCTAATCTGTATCTTCAGTATCCTGTTTGAACTGGAAGTTAAGGTTTTAGCTTCATAAGGCTGCCTACAAACTGAGAGGATGAAACTGAAGGTGGTCATGGATGCACATCAACTTCTAAGTCCTGCAAAACAAATACATGTTCAAGTATTCACTCAAATCCATTCTGTATTAAGAGAAAAGTATAAAGATGATTCAGTGTTTTGATCAGCAAAGGCAGATTTAAGCATACACTTAATTAATTCAAAAATTTTGTGCCCAAGGGCTGTTCCAAAAGTGTTACAAGATGTTCCTTTTTACAGAAGATCTTTTAGAGAATTCTCTTTGCAGAGTCTCGTGTTATTCTATCTTAATTCATTACAGGCTAGACTTTGCCACTTCCATAAATGCAAAACCATCCCTTCATGTCGAACTGAAAATAGCTAAAAGCAAAAACCTAATTTAACCCTTGAAACAAGCAGAGTGCTGAAGGTACTGTTAGCAGAGAGGGGGCTGTGCCTGTGCTCTGTTTGATCTGTGCTAACTGGGGGTGTTCAGGCCTGGGACACGCCTTGTTCACTGGAAATCAAATTGCACCCTGTCATAACAGTCTATTAACAGCCCTGAATTTCTGCAGAACTTCACCTCTTTGCTAGAAGATAACGTTTCTCTTTCCTCCCAAGGATAAAACAGCTTCCTTTTTTGCAGCCCTGCATATAATGGTGCTATTGCTTGACAGGGATGTCAACTTCCCTTAACTATTAAGGAGAGGGGAAATGTCTTTGTTACACATTTCTGTTCTCCTTTCATCCTCTTCAGAGAGGCCCCCAGCTCAATCTAAACAAAATAAAGCCAGGGTATCAGTTAAAAACAAAACCATTTTGAAAACTCTTTGATCTCCCTGGCTTCCTGTTAAATATACAATCGACTGTTTCTCCACATCCTTGACCACTACAGATCTGATTTTCTCTGCAGTTTATATTGACTTTGGCACCACACAAAATTAACGTATCATTGGCTATAAAATCTCTTAAAGGCAAAGAAATCCAACCCCCTCCTCAGCTTCACCTTTGCCTCTCTGTGTTCTCTGCTTTTCAATCCTGCCACCCACCTTTGTGTTTGTGTACAGGGACCCTGAGGTTGGACCCTGGCTGTTGTCAGGCTCCTGTTTGTGACTCCTGTCTGTCCCTCACCCCTGTCCCCAGGCCAGCATGGACTGTTAGCTCTGGAAAAACCCAGCATCTCTTTTCCTCTAAATCTGCACATCCTTTTTGCCCCTCAGAAGTTCTTCCTGCCCTGCTCCACAGCACTGCTACCAGGACTCTGTTGGCTTTGGTCTTCTCCTCCACCACGGTGTCTTTTTCCACTCCTGCCCTTGCCTTGCTCCATCCTCTGGATGGGGAAGAGCACGGGGTTCCCTCCCCACATCCCACCACCATGGACCTGACTGCCCCCATCCTTCCCCATCCTTCCCTTCCCCTCACCCCTGCCTGTTCTGTGGTGCTGGGTTAACACTCACACTCCATGATCTTGGAGGTCTCTCCTTAATGGTTCTGTGATTCTGTGGAGCTCAGCTGCATCTCAGCCCTGCCCTTCTCCCTTTGTAGAATTTCGCCTTTTCCACTCTATTCATAAGGAATTTCTTCTCTCTCAAAGGGCTTTATGCCTTCATCCTCCCCCATTGTCATTTGAACAATCCCTTGCCTTTTTCTTTTTTTTTTCTTTTTTTTTTTATTCCTTTGGGTGACAGTGGGTGGATGGGAATGGGACAGTTTGCTGTCAGTTTTCTGCTCCTTGAATTTATCTCAGCTGTCCAGTGTTCATCAGTTTTGGTGCATTAATGACTCAGAAACATTTATTAATGATTTAGGCTGAGGAGGCAGTCATATCTGATAGAGATGAATAGATTGTAAGGTATTTAGGTCTCACTGTACTTGTGCAAAGCACTGCACATAATCTATGGAGTTCTACAAGTAGCAACAGGAAGTTTAATCCTCTGTACTGGCAAACTGGCGACTTGGTCTCTTCCAGCATTAATTACACTGAAGAAATACAAACGTTGTAGCTTTCAGGACTAGCTGCTCCATTAAGGGTAGCATTTTAAGCAAGAGAAATGTTTGCACACAATGGAAAGACACATAATGTTGCTCCATGCACAGATGAGATAAATTGTTCTGTAGCTTTAGTGACAGCAGAGACAAAAGGCTCTGTCTCCCTCATTGTAGCAGCAAAATCTGGGTGGCTGCCTCCACATTTCTGCCCTGACTCGAGGCCTCTCCACGTCCCAGAAGCAGGGAAGGAGCATTGTTTCTCATACCTCAGGTAGCCCCAAAACAGGCCAGGGGCTGGGAGGGTGTGATGGATCTGAGTTTGGCCATGACAGCACAGAAGTGGGGATTGAGTCTGCAGGGAGATTTGCTGTCACAATAATGGATCTCATGGGGGTTTGAGTGGCTGATCAGAGAATTATTTTACAGCTTGTCCCATTTCCCTTCTTGCTTCAGAGGTATTTTATAAAATGAAGCCAATAACTCATAAAATAAAGGGCCCAGAATATTCAAATTGCTCTGTATGTGAGTCCCTCAATACCAACCCAAAGCAGAGCAAAGACTGAACTCTCAGTTTCCATAAATCCACTCAAATCCTGCCCTGCACTGCAGCAGCTTTGGGATGACCCTGCCTGTCAGAGCTCTCCACACCTCAGTAGCAATGGTCCTTTTCAGGATTCTCCTTCCATCAAAGCCCCAGCGGATGATGAAGAAATGACATTGATTTTGGGTGTTGTTCCCTGCTTACAGCCTCCTCCCCAGCCCCCTTTCTGCAGCCACCATGGAGATCTGCATGCTTCAGAGCCAGGAGATCCTCAGGTCACAGCTCAGGAGTCTTTGAGGAAAGCTCACAATTCTCAGAAGTGGCAGAAGACCTAAAAACAAGCTGACTCATTTCAGACATGCCTCAATCTCCACCTCAGCAAGCCTGGTTAAGTTCTTAGGAAACAACCCAAAAAGCAATGCAAACCCCAAACCAGAAACCAGAGTTGCAGACAACCATCTTTGCAAATTTATTTTCTAACCTGGCTTCCTTTCTTTTAGAAAGGGAGCAGCTCTTTGGGAAGTTCTGTGAACCCTTTGGTTTGTCATGGCTGCTTCTGGGCAGTGATGGCACAGGAGGTGAGGGAATCACTTCTGAGGCAGCTTCCCTAAAAGAAAGGTCAGCCATGAGGTCACTCCCTATGGACCAGAGCTGAGGTATGGGCTGTTCATTAACCTTTATTCCACATCCTATAAGTGAGTAGCACAAAGAAATTTCTGCCTAAAGTAATAATTATTAATGTGTTCTGTACTCTCTTGTTATAAAAATATCCTTACTTTCAGGAGTTTGCCTACAAAGGTTCTGGCCTTACACCACAACAATGATGCAATATTGCAAGGGATACTGAAATGTACACGTTTTGAAATATGAATGTGTATGAGAAAGCAAGGAGTTAATTTAAATAACTCAGAGCATTCTGTTTTTTTCAACCCAAGGACCTTCAAACTCTCCAGCAGCCACAGAAGCTGTGGCTGCCCCAGCCCTGGAAGTGTCCAAGGTCGGGTTGGAAAGGCCTTGGAGCAACGTGGGATAGTGGAATGAGATGAGCTTTAAGGTCCCATTCTGAGATTCTTTACAAACCCTGATTTCCTGCCTGTGATGGATTTTGTATCAGGCCCCCCCAAAATGAAGAAGCCAGATCTCTTTTTCCAGCTCCCTCATTGCACTGGAGGCACAAATTACATTTTACTTTCTGCAAGTTGGGGAGCTGCAAACAGCTCTGGTGCCTTTGGGGTAGGCGGGGAAAAGAAGTGTGGCTGATTCTAAATAAAAGTTACTGTCAGATCAACCTTGATAGCAGATAATGGCAGTGATCACATGGGAATAAAGACTCAGGCTCTGGTTTAATCATCGCTCCCTATCAGCTGCACTGAAGCAGTTCTGCATGACTAAGTCAAATAAATGTTAGGTAACTGAAATTATCTCCTTGCTTTGCACTCCCCCCTCCAGTACCCACAGTTTGTTTCAGGGACTTTGAAATAGGGAAATCTGTAAAGGACATCTGTGAGTGCTGATAACAAACAGGACAGGGTTTTTGTGAAGAGGTAGCTGAAGTTAAGCTATGAAAGAGATTTCCAAAGGCAAGAAGTAGTCTTAAGGTCATAAAAATCACATGTGCCTTTGAAAATTTCTATCAAGGCTGTACCCAGCTGCCTAAATTGGCTTCCATTCACTTCACAGGGTCTCTCTAAGTGCTGGAGCACGTGACTTTCAATTCTAGTCCCAACAACTTGGGAGGGGAAAGACCACCAATATTGAAAAAATGACTTGGACGCATTACAGAAAGCCCTGTAACTAGTGGTGTGACATCTTCATTTTAAAAGATCCCCAGAATCTCATATCAAAACCAACAGGAAGCCTTGTGCAGGCAGCCCTGAGGTTTGGTATGAAATCTTGATCCAGATCCAAGTTATGCTAGTTAGTTTATCCTAAAAGAAAGAATAAATGTGTAGGATCCCAATGTGTTCCAATAAAGCAGCATCCTTAATTTGTTCAGTATCTCAGGTAGATTAAAAATTAATAATTACTTGGACTTTCTCCACAGCTCTGGTTGCTTTTGCACCATCCCTACCCCTCAGGAGCTGATTGTAAGCTCACACAGGTGATGTTCCTTAAATCCTTAACTCCCAGAAGGACAGAATTGCATCAGAACCTCCACTTTCAGCTCACTTCACCTCATCTCACCTCTTACCTGGGCCAGGACAAGGTAGGAAACATAACCCCTTTGTCACTCAGCAAAAGCTGAAGGAAGGAAACAACATTATTATTATTTTAATTTATTTGCTAAATTTCAGACCCATTTGAACAGGTTTCACTCAGGAGTTTTCAGTGTTTGAGTTGGTAATTCTGCCTTTAGCTCCCACAGCAAGCACTACTCTGTGTATTTAAACTGAATTTGATTTAAGTTTAGTTTTAATTTAGGGCAGCCTGCCCAGATTTCTTTCCCCTCTGCTGACAAACTTGGCAATGCTTTTACAGGGCCCAGAGAACATTTCAGCCTCTCTTGCAAAGAGTCTTCACACAAAGCACTTTATTTCCCCCCAGAACAAATAAACAAGGAGTAAACATCCCTCCTCTCACACAAGGAACATTTCCTTGTCATTCTCTTCCCATTTGTGCCATTTCTACTGCCCAAGTGGGTCTTGAGCTTTATGAAAATGTTATGAAAAGGCAAAGCTGCATTTTTGCAATAGTAAGGACTCAAAAGAGAAAAATAAACCCAAGGTTTTTTGTATGTTTGTATGCACAGCTTGTGGGCTCTCTCCAGTTCAGCTGTGTTTGAGGATCCCAACAGTAAAGGGACTGTGCTCTGTTCAAAATGCAGTGAAACCCCTGGAAGGGAAGAGCAGGCAAATTGTGGTGGTTTGATTTCCCCCTTTTTTATCTTGAAGAATGCACTTTCTTGGGTTATACATTAAACTGTCAGGAGTAAAATCAACACTTGGGATTCTACCTGGAGCTGGAAACATTGCTCCGTGGAGCATGGCCATGCAGAGCTTCTACCACAGGTCTTCAAGTTGTTTCCCTTATCTAACCAAGCTATGTATAAATATTAACATATTATTCATGGGCAAATAATTCCATGCCACTCCTTGCTGCTGCTGCCTTAAAGAGGATTCTTGGTTTAAATGAGAATGACAGTCCCTTTGTGAGGCCTTCAACGCATTTTAGGTTAAAAGAATTTAAGAAAAAAGAAAAGAGAGAAAGGGTAACTTAATTAAGTAAACCTCAAAAATGAAGAAGTGGCCTTTAACTGTTGGTTTTAATGTAGGGGAGCCACCACCACATAAAAACTACTGACTAAACACTATAGTAATAGCAATTAGTCAACTCCCACTTGACTTGGGTGAGGTAGGGCTGGGATCCAAAGGAATTGTTCTGTGCTGTGTGCATGGATGGGTGTTGTGAGCAGCCCCGAGCTCTGCCCTGGTTCTGCACAAGTCGTGGCCCAAACAAAGTCAGTCAACGAGTTTGAAGCTGATCAGAATCTCCCTGCAGTGCTGGGGGTCAGTTTAGCCAGGCTGGTTTCTGTTTTCCAAGACTGGTGGGATTGATCCCTTCAAGACAGGTGAATTTTTTCATTAAAATGTTCCTTGAGAATATCCCTTGTGCACAAGGAAAAGTGTGTTCCTCCAGAAGAAGATTCTTCTTGCAGAGGGCCGGACATTCCAGCAGTTGTGGACAAGAAGCCATTGCAAGTGGAACATGTGAAAACAGGAGCCTATTCATAAAAATAATGTATTTATATTTACTCCTTCAAAGCCTTTGCTCAGGAGCTTTTTTAACGTTCAGCTGGATAGAAAATGCTTACTTCAAAACCAAACCAAAGACTTTAACAGATGTGCCCTGGTGAAGAAAAAAGGGTGCAGACACAGCAAGGAATTCAGAAAGGACAGACAGTCATATATGGACACGGGAAAGGAATCTCAAATAAATGTTTGTGGCTGGGAGCTGGAGTTTTTTTGTTACCTGTAATGAGCCTCTGGTTTTGAGGCCTGGCCTATTCCTCTCTTTTTTCCTGACTGCAGCTTTTGGTGCTTTTTGTACTACAGGAGCCAGTGCAATCTCACCAGCACCTCATTCACTCCAGCAATCAGGGGAGGGACACGTCTCACAAGGAGAACCATCCCTAAAACTGAGGATTTGGATTTTATTTCTTAGTTATGCTTAAACCCCATGAAATTCCAGGTTGCCAGACTGGGACAGGGCCATGTTTGTGTGTGTGTGCAGTCACACGGAGAGCAGCCTGACAGCAGCTCCTTGTATGCAAAGTCTGGGCAGGGCTGAGCTTGCAGGTGCTGCCTCCTCACACCCGGGTGCTGAAAATCCTCCACTCCATCCCTCAGGATATCAGCACATCCCACTGGGTGGCCACCCTAGTGACAGTTTTATCTCCAGCCTAATTAAAAGCATATTAATTTCAGGCTGTTAGCACATTTAGAAAGATTAGATCAGGCCTTATCCCAGTGATTGTGGTTCAGGAGAGGACTCAGCCTCAGGAGGCTTTTGTGTCCCTGTGTGTCCCTTTCCTGTGCTCTGACAGCCATGCAGGAAAGAAGCTGGAGTGTCCTCATCAAGATGTTTTATTTTCTCTCATGAAACTCCAAAACCAAACAAATAACTGTCCTCCAGACTATTGCCTTCTGTCTCCCTTTACACACTGGACACTTGTAAATTGTGCCAGGAGCTCCCGTGTAAGGGCCTATTAAGATTTCAAAGCCAAGCCTCTGAAAAAAGGAAGGAAAAGCAGAGCTGGGATTCCCTGTGAAGGTGTTTGTGAGGAGGGCTGAGGGGCCCTGCCCAGCAGGATGAAGCAGAGCTGGAATTCCCTCTGAAGGTGTTTGTGAGGGGGACTGAGGCCCTGCAGGATGTCCTTTAAGTTGTTTGTGAGGGGGCTGAGGCCCCGCCCAGCAGGACTTGCCATGCCAGTGAAGCAGAGCTGGGATTCCCTGTGAAGGTGTTTGTGAGGAGGACTGAGGGGCCCTGCCCAGCAAGATGTGCCATGTCAGTGACTGTCAGATTTCAAAGCCAAGCTTCCAAAAAAAGGAGGGAAAAGCAGAGCTGGGATTCCCTCTGAAGGTGTTTGTGAGGGGGCTGAGGCCCTGCCCAGCAGGATGAAGCAGAGCTGGGATTCCCTGTGAAGGTGTTTGTGAGCAGGACGTGCCATGCCAGTGAAGCAGAGCTCGGCCGCTTCCCGTGCAGCTGCGAGTGCCCCGAGCAGCCCCGACCGCAGGGGAGCAGCCAGGGCCCCCCGGCTCCCTGCACACCACAAACACCCCCCGAGGCCCAGGCTGCCTCACATTCACTGTGACACACAGGGGAAAACTCACATTTCCTGGGAGATCACTCACCTGCCCCAGCCTCAACGCCGCCCTTTCTCTCTCTGCCAAGACCCGTACAGTTCATAAAGGAAATAACGAGGGAATCATTATTTGCAGTGGATAATTTCAGTTCTTCTTTAGAGTAGCCCTGTCCTGTGCCCCAGATGGGCCATGGGGGCATGGGGAAGGCTACTGAGAGGTGTAAATCAGAAGCAGAGAGGTTTTGGAGTGCAGGAATAGCCTGTCCATGGCTCTCCAGGGAGGTCAGCTCCAGTTCAGGAGCGCCTACACAAATCACTGCCAGGAACTGGGAGAGTGTTTTAGAAGGATCACTCTGGACGTGCTGCTGCCTTGTATTTTTTCCTTAGGCAAGAGGTGCTGCCGTGGTAACAGAAAGGATTCTGGCTTAACTAGAAGTGGTTGTGTGATTTTTGCACCACTGAGCCTCTTGGAACACGCAGGTGAATTGGCTCGTGTGTATGAAGCATTAGGAATTTCCAACAAAACAACTTTTTATTGTGTGTGCATGTTTTCTCATCTGCAGAGAAGAATAGCTGTGGTACCCTGCAAGGATTTGACTGAGCTGTGTATTTCACAGAGCTGACATTACTGCTGAAGACATTAACTTAGAAAGGCCTCGCTTTTTTCATGACTCACGCCAGAAATTATTTTCCTGTAGGTTTGTTCTGAGTGATTAAGATAGGTTTGCTTGCATGTAAATGCTGTTCTGCACATATAGATCTATATATTACCTTCACCAGGGAAAGCTCCCACACTTTCCCTTGTTTATGCACATTATACATGACATAGGTTCCAAGTTAAATGTCACAGCCCTTATTTACAAGGTAAGCAAAGAAGATAATCCAATTAAACTCCTCATTTTCAGTGCTGTCCATCTCACCCTTCATGGAGAACACTGCACAAGAGGAGTCGAGGACACCACCCTGTCTGCTGTGAGGTCCCCAGCTTGTCCACCTGGGAATTGTAAAATTCCATGTACAGGTAGGAAATTACATTTAATATTTCAGCCAGTGAGGTAGAAATGGGGGCAACACCTCAGAAGCTGCTTCTCAACCACTCCCTGATTTCCAAGGCAGCCACAGTAGCACGCTGGGAGCTGTTGGAGCAGGCACCAGGCTCCCTCAGAGCCCGAGCCCAGGCAAGGAACAGCGTGCTCTGGCCACGCTGCCTCCATCCTGCCTGTCCCAGCTCGCCCTGAACTCCTTCCTGTCTGCCCCAAAAATCCCTTCTTGCTTCTCAGAGGATGTAAAGGGAACATGGAGCAAAGCACAGAAAAATTCTTCAGTCTCCGAAGCCATTAAAAATATTTTTGATAAAGGCACATATATGCACAGCTGAGCTCCAGTGAACACCTTCTTGTTTCTCATGCTAATTTTATATTGTTCCTAAAGCAGAGCCTGATTTTTCTCTTTGTGAAAGGAGAATTTTAATCCTGGTCCTATTCATTAATCATATCAAAACCCAAGGTATGCAGATATTATTTTTCAGTAATTTTAAGGTGCTAGTGTATTAGTAAAAGGTTAAGAAATGCAAATTGGCTGTAAAGGGTTTGGGTTTTTTTCTTGAAGTGTTTGGTTTCCTCACGTTATTGCAGACTACATATATCTTTATTTCTCAGTAAGAGCAGACTGTGGCCCTGAACCTTTACAATTCCAAACACAAGCAAAGATAATGACTTTTTAAAAGTAAAGAACAAATTGTTCCACAAAAAATGAGCACAATCACAAAAAGAAGCATAAACTTCTCCTGCCTAGTGGTGGCTTCCAAGACGTCAGACATTTTGTAAACCAGCAATCGGATCCAGACCACGCAGAATTGGGACGGTCCTGCTTTTCCTGTTAATTTTTCCACTATGAGAGTGTCCAAAACTCTCTGAAATAAAGGATTACTGTCTAGGGGTTCAGAAAGTCATATTTTCATAGAACAGTTCATTCTGACAGGTAACCCCAGCATGCACACAAGCTGTTCCATTAAATGTCATGGCCTGAAGTTTAAAAATGTATCCCACATCCCAAGCCCAACCGTTTGTTTGTTTTCAGGAGTGTTTTCAGTGCTGCTGTGGTCCAGAGTTTAGATCAGTGGTTTAGCTGCCTACACCTCATTTAGAGGTTATAAGCAAGGGAGACCCAGTTTGGTTTAGTGTTTAGCAAATTATCTTCACCCTTTTGCCACTAAATCACTGTACAAGCACGAGCAAACCACTCAGCTCTTCCTCTCCTTCCCCTTATTCAAATGTACCCAGACCATGGCTTGTGATATGACTGTGAGGAGTCATATCAGCCCATGAACATGGACAGAAAATTCTAGAAGCTCTGCTGAACCAAGGTCACAGCGTGAATTGTGATTGTAGAGATGAGATTTGAGTATTATCAAAATCTTTCTGGATGAAAAAAGCATGGAATGGTGCCTTTGGTTTTCTATCCAAACCAGCCAGAAAGAAATGTTGTTCCCCAGAACAGAAATCTGCTCTGAGATCACCCTGATGTAATATGGAATTATCAGGTCTGAGGCAGGTCCTTCAGCCTCTGGGCTTGCAAAACGTGCTGGGCCAAGAATTGAGAAAATAGAAAAAGATTGTTTAACTTCATCCCATTTCAAAATGTAGTAAGAATGTATTTCTGTATTAAAAAAAGGTATTTAACTTCCCCATCTCTGTTTCACTTGGTTCACATATTCAAGCCATTTTCTAGAATTGTAAACAACTTTGTTAAATCAGAGTTCAGACCCTTAAATAATCACAAACTATCAGAAACTTGGCCTTTTCAGAAAAATACAAATATACAGCAAGTCAACAGCACTAGCAAGTCAGTAACTGAGGCATCCTGCTTTTAGTGTAAATAGTATAAATATTTTTTTTTTGCAGTGCTTTAGTGGTGTTGAGGAGATATTTCCTCAAACGATGTTGGGATCATCTGCAGGGGTTCCACATCTTTGTACTTCAGGCATCTCAACTGAAGCAGCCAAAAACTGGGTCAGGGCAACAGTCCAAAATTTTAGCGGTGAGCCTCCAAAATTCAAGACACTCAGGGAATGCATGTTGGGGAATAATATGAGAATGCTCAAAGGGGAAAAAAAAAGAGAGAAGGCCATATTTAATTTGTATCCAACATTCATATTTCAAAAATGGGTACTGTCAATTTGGAATAAAAGCCTGCGTTTGAAGTGCCTGTGGAAGCCAAGGCAGTTCCCTCAGAGCCTCACATGCTGTCTGATGCCATCGGTTCCCGAGTTGCCACGAGGCAATGTGGATGTCTGGCTGCTCCAAATCCACAGGCACGGGGAGGTTTGGGATCTGGCTTTCGAGGAGTCTCCCCACTGGGATACTCTGGATCCTGGAATATGAGAATGTGGGCTGGCAAGAGCAGCCGAGCAGCCCCGCAGGCTTCCCAAATTCAGGCTCACCGCCGTCCCTTCCAATAGGATGGAGAAAACTGGGAAGCATATCTCAGCTTGAAAACTCCGAATTCGGGAGCCAAGTCCCACAAAACTTTCACCCTGTTGCTCCTGGGCAGCTGCTGCAGGGAGAGGAGATGCAGCTGGAGCTGACAAAAGGAACCAGCCTGGTTGGAGGCACCTGCAGAGTCACCAGGTGCCTCTGAGACTCCTTGCTCAGCACCATTTTGGGGTAGTTTAACAGAGAAATGCTGTTTTGAGGAGCTAAAGTTCATAATTACATGTTTTTTTTAGGACCTGGGCATGCTCGAGACCAGGGAGTGTAACACCCCAGTCTGCCCAGTGATGGAAAGTTAGAAACTGGAAATGTACCTGGATGCCACCCTGAGTCAGCCCAAACCGAAGCATCTCTACAAAACACCTAGATGTGAACAAACTGCCGTCCTCTGACAAAAATATTCCGTCTGAGAATTTCTGACCAGCTCCGGCGGTAAACACCTCCAGGGTGTCCTTTCTGTCTGATACAGGGCAAAAATTATTCGGGTACCTGTTGCTAGGGGTGGAAAGATGAGGGAATGGAATAGTAAATTAAAGGGGTTGGAACAAAAAGCAGCTGATTGTCTGAGCACGGCTGGCCAAGCTGTGTTCAGGGATCTATGTGGGAACGCATCTCTCCAGGGACGAAATGCCCGTGGCAGGGGCTGCAGCCACGCTGTGGACCCTCTTGTCCCCTTCCCCTCACTGAGCGGGCTTTACACTTGTGGGGCTTTACACTTGTGTTTATTTTCCTGCCTGCCCTCGGTGGGGTTTGTCGGGCACCCCTCCTTGTGCTGCTCTGGGCTTTTCTGCCCTGCCCTGGGCCCCGCGGAGCGCGATCCCCCTCGGGGAGCCGGGGCCTCCGCGGGCGGCGATGGAGGCGCGGAGTTCCCGGCGGGCCGGCCGCCTCCCCGCCCTCCTTCCATCCTCCCTCCCTCCCTCCCTCCCTCGGCGGCGTGTTTGGGAGGGAAGGAGGGGGTGGAAGCCGGGCCGGGGCGGCCAGCAGGCAATTTGCATGAGAGACAGACTGGGAATGAGCTGGAGTGGGCGCCTCTCCGCGCACACAGAGCGGGGCAGGAGGGGGAGGAGGAGGGAGCTGCCGCCGCCGCCGCCGCCGGGGAGAGGCGGCGAACTCCGGGCAAAGTTTGGAGCCGCGGGCCCGCGGCGCTGAGGCAGCGCGAGAGCGGCGGGCAGAGCGCGGAGCCGGCGGCGGGCGCTGCCGGCACAGCCAGCATGTCCTCCATCCTGCCCTTCACTCCTCCCATCGTCAAGCGGCTCCTGGGCTGGAAGAAAGGCGAGCAGAACGGGCAGGAGGAGAAATGGTGCGAGAAGGCGGTGAAGAGCCTGGTGAAGAAGCTGAAGAAGACGGGGCAGCTGGACGAGCTGGAGAAGGCGATCACCACGCAGAACATCAACACCAAGTGCATCACCATCCCCAGGTACCGGGGTGCGGAGGGCGCGGCTCCCGGGGAGCGGCGGGACCCCCAGGGACCCGCAGGGACCCCCGAGCTCCGGCACGGCCGGGACGGGGCTGGGTTTGCGTCCCGGCCCTGCCGCACTCGCTGCGGGGTCGGTGCTCTCTGCCTGCTCCTTATCTAGCTAAGAAAAACCCCGTAACTGGCTACAGAATTGAATTACTCTCTAGTAACGAGAGCGAAAACGTAGTGGAGAAAATATGCCTCGAGCCGAGATCATAAAAAATGAAAAAAAAAAAAAAAAGTTGGAAGCGCTGCGGATCAGTTCCACTCATTCTCATTGTCAGAAGTTTCAGCGTGTTCTCAAGTGCTGTTGCATTAAGATTTTCTTGTGATTAGTGCGTCAGGAAAACGGTTTTGTTTGGGTTGTTTGCCTTGTTCCTTATTACTCCTCTGTAGGGGTGATTTAGAGCCCTGCTCTGCTGATGTTTTCGAGTTACTTTTTAAATCGGGAATGCAAATGGCAGAGCTGAAGGAGGTCGTTTGGAGTGCAAAAACACCCCACACATGAGGGTGAATATAACTGATTTTTTCCTCCATGTTTTGAATGAACGTAGATTTTATTTTTAGTCTCCATTCCGAGCTCGATCCATAGGGCCATCATAAATCATAAAAGACGCGTATAGAACTATCCCATCTAAGAATCATTTTCCAAGTAACTTTCAAATGACTGCCCACAAGTGGTGTTTTATTGCTGCAGATTGTTGATTTCTGTGAGCTCAGCCAGATGACTGCTGGGTCTGTTCCTGATTGTTGTTTGAGAGTACTTTTTTTTTTTTTAAGCAAAGGCCAAAGTTCATCCCAAATATTTGAATGCTGCATAATTGTGTGCTTCTGCGTGAGAAGATATCTGTGTGTGTGTGTGTATTCATGCTTCTCTCTGGCACAAACAAATGTATGCTTTCTTGGTTGTCAGATTGATTTAATATGCAGGAGCTGATACAAAGCAGCATCTGTTGCATGAAAAAGTGAAGCAAGTAGCTTAGAAATGTGGATGTTTGGAGCTCCTAACATTTTCTTCCAACAACTGCAATGTTTTTTTTAAAGGAAAAATAAAGCCTCCTTATCTTTTTTGGTGCTGAATGACTGTGGCTAAGATTTTGGCCAGAAATGCAAATGAGAGCTCCCAGCCTTTGTTAGAGTTGCTCCGGCTTCTACTTGAAGCAGAAATCAAAACCTGTAGAGCTACCACGCAATACAAATGCCTTAAAACCTATATTTTTAAAGTTCTTGGTAAGCAGCGTGCTTTCCACGTAGATAATTCCCCGTTTAAAGCACTTGCCTGAAATATTTACCATTTGAAAAGAAGAAAACTGCTGGAGCAGCCCTGCTGCTGTGACCTGGGTATTGTGTCTGGCTGATGCTGACCCGTTAGGGAGCAGAGCATGAAGGCCCCTGGAACTTCTGTGACTCCTAACAAGGTGGCTTAGATAAGGAAGGATTTGATATTTTAGGATTTAAAGGAAGAGTTGGGCCAAACACAATGCTTTATTAAAAAAAAAAAAAAAGAAAACAAGTAAAGGTTGAAAATAAATAACAACACAAACATATATCACAAGTCATGAATACTCATCTTCAGAGATTGTCCTGGCTCTTCCTCCTCTGTTAAAGAAAATCTGTGCAGAAATTAAAGTATTTCATGTTAATTTATGTCACTGAGCCTGGATCTTGCAGATCTTAAACCTCGGTATGGGGGAGGCATCAGCCTGTTTTGGTGGGAGCCCCTTATACCTTGGCGTTCGTTTTTAAACACAACTTCATATCTGCTTTTTTATTGTTCAGAAATGACCGTGGTTAGGTTTTCAGTGCTGAGAAGTTAACATCTGTGTGCCAGGGCTTGGGGAGTGCTGTGGGAACATGGAACGATCTCTCTGAAGTCAGTGCAGAGCTGCAGCTCTGACCAGGCCTTGTGACTTTAAGAGCTGTGCCTTTTCCTCTGGGCTGCACTGCTTGTCCTAATGTATCTCTGAATCTGATTACTGTGTCATCTGAAATTAGTGTTTGCAAGACGATTTTAGTGCGGTTTTAGTTTGCTGTTTGTTTTTTTCATTTAATAATTTTTACGTATGTCATTTTACTATTTACTGAAATAATATGTTGGGGAGGGGGGAAAGGGGGAAAAGCATCATTAAGGATTAGCTCATGTTGTGCATTGTCTGTAATGCATCAGTAGACTGAATTACAGTGGAGCCATGCCAGTGATGACTCTGGCCCAGCAGGAGCAGGGTAAGTCCAAAATTAGCTATTGTATCCATGAGAGAGAGCAAGTTTCACATGGAAAAGGGCTGGAGCTTAGCAGAAACATTGCTTGTGGGAATGAGGGCTACGCAGCAAATTCCTGGCCTGATCAGGTGGGACTGTTTGAAGAAAGGACAGGAAAAAAAGATTTGTTTTGTTGTAGGGCTAAGGAATTAGAATAACAAATGTATTCCTGCTGTCATGTTTATCTGCTGGGATCTGGAAACATGCTATCTCCTGACAGATTAGTAAACAGGGATTAGTTTATTTGCTTGTGTATTTGCTCAGCATGTATTACCTCTCCAAGTGCTCCATTTCTGAGGTGGTGTGACAGACACCCCAGGTTTTCTGTTGGGAGAACCTGTGGCAGACAGCAAAAGGCTGGAGAGGCCTTCAAGGATTTCAGTGTGACTCTCCTGGCAAGAAGGATTTTTCCTTCTTGTTTTTACTGTTAAACCTCTGTGCCCTGAGCTGGTGGCCTTTGGTGTCAGAGCTGACCTAGGGAGTCGTGGGTCTCCCTGGCAGAAAGGTTTTTGCATTCTGTATTGGGTGATAAAAGTTGAGAACACACATTCTTCTGCCCATTAAAATGAATCCTTTGTCACAGTTGCATTTTCTTGAAAGCCCAGCTCTCAGGATGAGCATTTTTATCACTTTTCAGACCCACCTGAGGACAAGTGTGCCATTAACACCTACCCAGCAGGGGCAGCTGGGTGTTTGTGGCTTCTCTGCTTTGCTCTGTGAGCAGGCAGTGATCTGCTCCAGCTGCTCGCACGATGTTTGGTGGCTCTGTTCTCTTCTGAGACCCAGAAATGTGGTAAGAATGGCATCTACGTCTGACATTCGTACAAACCTGCAAAAACCTGAGTTTCTAACACTATTGTGAGCAGAAGAGAAGCCGTTTTGTGCACCTAAGAAACCAGCAGCATGTGCCCTGGAAATGAAGTGTGATGAGTGTTTAACTCAACATTTTTAGGGTCTGATCTGCAGAAACCATGTGACGGGCACTCAGTAATTTCTACAAGCTGTGCAGTATCTATAGTCTTGCTTTATGGGATAGTAAATGCTTTATTTCAAGAGCTTTACACACACAAAGACATAAATATCCTGGCATTTTGTAATATATTTTCATATGCACATTTTTCTTTTGAACTTATTACTGTATTTATTTGTTTTGGTATCACCAGTGGTTTTAGGGGAGCCAGGATTCCTGTATATAAGGAACACCTTCTTTTAAGTGGTGAGGTTTTTTTTTAATTTAGAAAAGTTTTGAGAGAGGTGGGTGTTATTTCTTGAGGAGCTCATCTGATAAGGGTAGAATGTACCAATTGAAATGGAAACACGGCACATTTGCTTCTTAAAAGCCACTGAACAAGGTGTTCCTTAAATGATTTACATTTGGTGGGGAAAACCAGGAATAATACACAAGGAACATAATGCATAATGATAATAAAGAAGGAACATAAATATTTCAGAAACATCTTGGGTGTGAGCACAGCTTCAGTTGTTTTGGGAGTCGACCACACAATGTTTACAGGACGTGGTCATGTTCTTAGGTTTGAGGTGATACCAGGAAAATAGGAAAGCTGTGAGGATGTTAAGTGGTAGAGGCTGTCTCAGGACCCTGAAGGATGTTGTGGTTTCACACCATGGTGTGATTCTGGGGTCGTTGGACTTGCTCCTTGTGGGTCCCTTCCAGCTCGGGGTATTCTCTGATTCCACACTCCTTTTGGGGCTGCTGCCCATCTGACTGCAGTAACCAGCAAAGGACCAGTCACAGCTTTGTGCATCCATGTGCATATTTATTTATTTTTCAATGCCAGTTTCAAGCTACCGTGTTTTCAGTTTTCTGTCTCTGAGTGAGGAGCTTTAATATTTCATGGCTTTGTCTGGGAGTGCCTGCAGGGGCTTAGCCCTGGTGTGCAGGGGTGGCTACAGCCCAGTCCCTGTGTGCAAACACCTCTGGCTGCCATCACCCTGCTCAGCTCCATCCTGCTGGGGATTTTGCTGCTGTGTCAGTGACCTCTGTCCTGCCCGAGCTTTATGGGCAGGTTTTACAGCCCTGCCCGGCCTTTGTGCTGCTGCAGTGCCCTCATCACGGTGGCACCAGCTGAGGTGGCTCTGTGGGACTCTGCAGGTCAGCTCTGGAGGTGAAGGTGCACTGAGTGCACATGAATCTGACACAGCTCCAGGAGTGTTGGGGCAGTGCTCTTGGGCACAGGGTGTGACTCTTGGCATGGTCCCGTGCGGGGCCAGGAGCTGCACTTGGTGGTCCTTGTGGGTCCCTTCCAACTCAGCTTTTTCTGTGTGATTCCATCACTTTGTGCCTGCAGTCCTGCTTGTCCATCAGTGCCTTTCTCATCCCCCCGCAGGTCAATCCCCCTCTCTGGGCACAGGTTTCTGCTCCCTGCAGCCCCTCCAAGGTTTTCTCCCCACCTTGCACTTGTTCCTGCCTCTTACACCAGCCTGGGTGATGTGAGTGGAGTTGTATTGTCCCACACGATGCCATTCCCAAAAACAAAGCACTGCTGTCAGGCTGGAGCAGCAATGTTGGTACAACCAGTTGGGGAGCAGCTGCACACTCAGTTATTGTGGCAGGGACAAGGAGCTGGGAGAGCAGGGAGGCTGGGGAGGAGGTGTGCTCCCTCCCCTCAGAGAGTTGCTGCTGGAATAGCACAGCAGCCCTTTATTAAGGTGTCTCCTCTTTTTGTAATTTCTCATGCAGT